CCTTCTCCTTTGCCCTCTCAGGCTGTCCAGTTTGGTAGTGGTGACCGACCCCCCCCTCCCAGCTGGAATCTGCATACCGCCCAAACTTATTGTGCCCCCTGCCCCCCAACTCCCCACACACAGGATAAGTTTCCTGGTATCGGATTTCCAGGGCCGAGTGCCCGTCGTCCTGGTGCTGTTCTGGAGACTGGACAGTAGGGGGCAGCAGTGACCATAGCAAGAAGAAGACACAGCCTGGCCGACGGGAAGAGAGGAGAGAGGAGGGGGGTGCAGGGGGGCTCAGAGCCTAGAGCAGAAAGAGAGTGAAGGAGGCAGGACAAGCTACCAGGGCTGTGCCAAAACACTGTCAGAGTGCCAGGAGAGGGCCACAACAGGGATGCCTAATCAGTTCTAGGAGAGTGCTGAAACTGAGCCAGGCAACGCTAGAACAGTTCCCAAGCAGTACCAGAGCAGGTCCAGAACAGTTCTCGAGCCGTGCCAGTACAGGCCCAGTAGCCCTGAGCGGTGCCAGTACAGGTCCAGAACAGTTCCTGAGCAGTGCCAGTACAGATCCAGTAGCCCTGAGCAGTTCCAGTACAGGCCCAGTAGTCCCGAGCAGTGCCAATACAGGTCCAGAACAGTTCCCGAGCAGTGCCAGTACAGGTCCAGAACAGTTCCTGAGCAGTGCCAGTACAGGCCCAGTAGCCCTGAGCAGTTCCAGTACAGGCCCAGTAGTCCCGAGCAGTGCCAGTACAGGTCCAGAACAGTTCCTAAGCAGTGCCAGTACAGGTCCAGAACAGTTCGTGAGCAGTGCCAGTACAGGCCCAGTAGCCCTGAGCAGTTCCAGTGCAGGCCCAGTAGTCTTGAGCAGCCAGTGCAGGACCAGGACAGGTGCAGGGCAGCTCTAGAACCGTTCCGGGTGGGGGTTGGGTAGGGGTCTAGATCAGCTTAGGAATTGTGCCAGGACTGTTCCAGAGCAGTTCCAGACCTGTGCCAGGACCGTGCCCAGGGAGGGTGAACTGCTGTGAAGGAATCTGTGTGACTTTTGCTGTGTTTTCTCTCTCCGACTGTCCCTGCTGTGTGTCTGTCTGTTCTAACTCCCTCTATTCTTCTTTCAGCGGGCGAATTCATTATAAGGATATGTACAGTTTATTGCGTGTTATCTCCCCCCCTCTGGGCTTAGGCAAGAAATGTCCTCATAGGGTGGCCTGCAAGGTTTGACTTCCACTAAAACCTACAACCTGCTCGCATTGAAGCGGAATGAATGTCGCTTTCTTACTTCTCTCTCCATTTTCTCTTGCATTCTGACACAACCAAGAATGTGCGGGACAATGCAGTCACCTGTAGAAGCATGGAGTGCACTGACCTTTTTATGTTGTTAGGCCACCGAACAGGAAAGGCCAGCCCCAGCCATCTCTGCTTGCTAGACGTTACGGGGATAGGAGCGTGCATTGTTCTCGCTGGGGGGACAGAAACTGCATTGACAAATACCTGCCACCCCTCCGCACTCCCACAGGGGGCGCTGCCTGCTGTGGAAGCCCACGGCTGTTCTATGCAAGAGTTGGATTTGCATAGAATATTGTTCTAATACCACAAGCAAATATATATATATATTTTGAGATATATATACTTACCGACGTCTATCATTATAGATCTATGAAAACGTCAGATCAACTCAATTTTCTCTCACTGACAAGCCCAAAATAACCTTGTTTTGTTTTGTTTTTGTTACTTTTCTTTTCCGTATCTTTGATTTACATACTGTTTTTCTTCCTTTGCCTGTTATCTTTGTTAATTTGGCCCCCTGGGACCTTGTACCTTCCCTGTTGTTTTGGTGGTATTTTTGTATTTTTTTAATGTTTGGCTCATTACCGCCCTCCAGTGGCCGCATCAGTTACAGTGATATGTATGAGATGCTCAGACACATGTCTCCGCCGTTAGGCCTGGGGAAGAAATGCCCAGCCCGGGTCGCATACCAGGTAGAAGGTCCCTTCCTGGCAGCGCTGTGTTCTGTAGTGTTGGTGTTTTGGAGGGGAGCGCTCTGGGGTGGGAGCTGTAGGGGTCAGAGGTCAAGAATCCACAGGGGCAGTGGAGTGACTCGGGGTGAAAGGGACCCCTGCTGTGTGGCACTCACCTCCCCTTACCTCGTTTCTCCTCTTTGCAACAGGTCTGCACACACACACACACACACACACACACAGATCATACAGGTCTGCACACACAGATCATACAGGTC